CAAAGCTCAAATCAGTCTCCTTTATCCAGAGCTAGGGGTGAGTTTTAAGGGGTAATAGGAAACAGACTGGTAGGTGGAAGTGCTGGAGGGGCAGGTTTTGATTGGAGAGCTTTGGAACTTCGCCATTTTGGGGAAAATGGGGCTTCTGCACTGGATCTTCCTGGACAATGGGCACATTGCTTCTGAAAGTGTTTCAGTGTTCAAGCTCCAGTCTTTTGGTTCTGAGATGGGACATCACTTGTAAAATTCTTAATCTTTTAGCAGGAAATGAAATGGGACATCTCTTGCAGAGTTCTTAATCTTTTTGGTAAACCTAGTTAAGTTTTATTCCCTCTTTGGAAAAAAAGCCCTCTCCCTCAAATCCTGATAATTGCCCTGGAGACTAAGATCCTCTAGCTATTGATAAGGGTCATCAGTCCATTGTTAGCAGAAATGGTGTTAAGCCAGACAGGGCCCTTAGAGTCGAGAGGGGAGGAGACTTTAAGCCAAAGATCTTTTTTTACACTTTAAGAAATATATTAACCAAGGCTGTTAATATATTTCTTAAAGTGTAATATGTTTAGGCAAATCAATAATAGAAATTAATAGATATACGATTTAAATAACGAGTTTGTATCTTCTTTTCCTTGTCTAGGGAATGAGGTGGCACATTAGCAGGAAACCCAAATTCTCACCCTGACTGAGGCAGAAAGAGAAAGAGCTCCATGAAACCCCTGTAGGCAGGGACTATGGCCATTCTTAGCAGGAAGCAGGTAAAAAAGAAGAGACCTCCGGTCTCTCAGCATCCATACTAATAATAAGAGGGTTCATTACTCTTAGAAAAGAGTTAGGCAGGAAAGTTAATTAGGGGGTTTGGGTCTATCTGCAAAGACTCTGAGGTCATCTTATCCTAGAAGGGGTCCGCCCTAATCCATCCACAATTAAGCAAGCCAGAAGGCATTTTTTAACTTACACAAAGAAACCAGTAGACAGAGAATTAGTACCAATTTAAGCCAGTCACTCGCACCTGCAGCAATGAAGACCCCAACGACCTTCAACTCACCTGAGCCTCATTATACCATTATAATATGACGCATATGCCTGGAAGTTCATTAATATCATTATAACAGACTGAATTCTGGGAACAAACATGCGCAGAAAGCATAATGATGAATCTCTGAGTCCTGTCAATCTTAGTTGTTAATCAAGGAAGCCCACTCCTCTAAGAAATGTAACCACCCACAGCAAAAAGGGATAAAACCCCAAAGGCTTTGTTACTGGGCCTTTTGAGTCACACTTCTTGCTCAGGCCCACTGTCACTTCTGGAAGTGTATTTTCCTTTCTAATAAAACTCCTTTTCTACTGTATTTTGGTGTGTTGTTCAATTCTTTGTCCAAGACATCAAGAACCTGGACGACGTGCCAGGAGAGGATCCCCACTCCCTGATAACAGTTTCATTGGTTCCACATCTCGGTCCTTTGGTTCCACTGATACCAGGGTCATCCTGAGGACAAGAATGACATATGCACAGTCTGTTTCTGTAAAACAACTCAAAAAGAGCATTAATCACCAATGTGCTACCAGTGTGCTATTTCACTGACACCACAAATAGTTGCAGTGAGCGTGCATTTTTGGGCAGAGCCAGGCTGGGCCTCAGGCCCCAGGCCCTCGGTACCCTTTTATTTCCCTGGGCATCAAGGCCTGTTGTAATTTCAGGCCTGGAGTAAAGAGCACTGAGTGGATCCTTTAAAAAGGGAGAGACTTAACCAGCACTGCCTTAACCTCTAAAGCTCCCCCTGAAGGGGCACAGCAGCAACAGTTAGTCCCATTCCACAGATGAGGAAACTGATACTCAGGAAAATTCAGGAACCCAGGAGAGGTCACTAGCCTGAGTGTTGCCAGGCCCCAGGCCAAGCCGGTGCTCCTCGCCAATGTGTCTGGGTGATCCCACAGAGTACCTTCAATCTCCAACATTTAAATAATTTACCGTAAGTGCCTCTGAAGCAGTGAAGCCTTTGCCATCAGTTCTCTGGGGGGTAGGACTCTGACAAACCAGAAACTGGTCAGGTAGCTGCTAATTCAATCCAGTGGGCAATACAGGAGTTCAGAATGAGCAACCCCAAGATGTGCCTAAGTGGTATAAGTGGTATGTGGATTATTTTGAGCTAAAGGCAATGTTAGCTTTGGGCTCAAGAGAAACTTCTGCCCCTCCCTTAATGAAGTAGAATACCTTGAATTAGGGGCCTTGCCCATCATAAGCAATTATCAGAGATAACCTCTTTTGACCTACCTATAGGGCAGGACAAACTTCTGTTTACTAAGCATCTACTTTTCTTGTCATCCTTCAATGACCTTTTGAAGCCCCCAAAGTACTTTACCTAACTCCTAGCTCAGAATGTCTTATATACCCACATTCCCTTTCTGTCTCTGGACCTCTCATGTATGCAGGGTTCCCATATATATGTATGTGTTAAGTTTGGTTATCTTCTCTTGCTAATCTGTCTTGTGTCTATTTGATTACTACATTAAGTAGATTTACTAGATCAGCAGAAAGAACCCTGAGAGTTGAGGAAAGCTTGCTCTTCCCCGACAGCAGCACTGCCCCCAGAACCACCATATCCTCCCCTGCTTCCTCCATCTTAAGTAATGGGATGAGTCCAGAGATCCCAACCCTATCCCTCAGTACTGGGCCTCTGCAGGGCTGGATCAGAGGGGGCAGAATTGGAAATTGGCTGCATGTCCTCCCAGATACCCTTCAAGGGTGGGGTGGGAGGAGAGACTTAAGTCAGAGGAGCTCTCAGTGACTCAGTGTGATGCAGAGCAATGCCCTTGCTGGGCCGCAGTTTTGCAGATATACGCAGGGTCAGCCTAGAGCAGCTGTTATTAGTGTCAGGGGAAGATGTGGAGGGGAAACACTAACCACTTTAAAATTCAGGAGAATGACACAAGCTCTCACACAGTCCTCAAGGGATCATATATCTCCTGGCTGAGGAAAGAACCCCTGAACTAGGGTTCCCAGATGACTGGATTTCATAGACCAGAAAAGTTTTGAAAGTCTGGGGGACATCTGGGTTACTTAATTTTTGTTGGTATTAACCAAAAGTCAATAACCAATCAAAAAGAAGCGCCCCACCAAGAGCTTCCAGCTACTATCATCATAATGTCATTACAGGACAGTGCAACATCGTAAAGTAGGACAATAAAGATAACAGACTATTCCACTTTCACACACCATCCTATGCTGCCATTTTCCTGTCTCCCCACAACCCCTGCAGATTCTGCTACAATGGTACCAGAACCACAGCCAGGCCAGCTCATCTTTGGGAACTGCCTAGCACTATCTCCTCTAGACCGTGGAAGGTGATACAGGGGGCTAAAGTGGGGGCCAGACTTGGCTCCCTGAATCACTGGACTTCCATGTCCCTACTGTGTGTGCATGGGATACTGAGGTCAGAGTAGTGGAGTTCTGACTCTGTTCTTTTCATTTCAGCTCCAAGAGGCAAAGAAACAGAGAAGATACAAGCTTCTCTATTGGTTGAGGGGCTGGGTCCTGCCACCCAGGGGAACCGTCAGCTCAGAAAGGAATGCCCTTCCCCTCTCCCTCCTTTGGAATTACACTTTTCAGCACTTTCCACAACCAGCCACTGTGGCACTTCGGAGGCTGGGGAAAAGGGCAGGCGCTGGAGAGGGGCTACCTGCGCCTCTGACAGCCTGTGACCAACAACTCTAGGGGCACCATTCACAGAGACCATGAGTTGGCAAATGTTTTCTATAAAGGACCATGTAAATAAATATTTTAGGCTCTGCAGGCTATAAGATCTGTCCCAACCATTCAACTTTGCCATTGCAGCAAGACATCAGCTGACTATAATGTGTGAATGAATGGCATGGCTGTGTGCCCATTTTTACAAAAACAGGAGGTTGGCCACCAAGCAGTAGTTTGCCACCCTGTGACATAGAAAATTCAAAGTATCCTAGGAGGTCGTAATGCAGCAGCCCTATACCCCATCACTTTGTGTCTGGTGTCAAGGAGCAAAAAGGCCAAGGGGCAGCAGCATCTTAAGCCTGCCTGTAGCAAGACCCCATTAGGTCAAACTCATTAAATTCATCCTATCCCCAAGGCAAAGAGGCTCCTCTAGGGCAACCCCCCCACCTCACATTCTTATCAAAGCCAAGTCTTCTTTCATCTCCACTTCCTCACCACTCCCTCCAACCACAGTTGAGCATGATCTCAGGGCATGTCCTGGCTTTCCTTCTTCCTGCAAGCACATACCCAAGCAAGTTCATCAGCTCTGCTGGCTCTGCAGCCGGCACATCCTCCTCTAGAATCCTCAACAGCTCCACTCAGATCTAGGGACCTCTTCCCACAGAACTCGGGCAAGAAATACACTTTGGCCAAGTATCCTCCTACTTAGCTCCCAAGTTTCCTGGAAGCCTATCCATAATTTATAGACAAATTCTCCTGGCTCATCTAGGGTACAGTATATTCTGGAAAACCTTGGCCTCCCTCCTTTTACCTGATGCATACAGGTAAAGCTGTCAGAAGCCAGGAGATGCAGCCAGGCTAAGCTATCACCAGCACTCCTGCCAGTCTCCCCTGGTTCTCTTACTCAGCTAGGCTGTGGTTCAGTAAATGTTTCAACGGATAAGGCTAATTAAGCAATTAACTCCTCCAAGGGTCCTGTTGCCATATGCACCCAGAACCTGAGTCTGCCTTCTCTGGGGCAGTGAGTCCAGCTACAGCCTGAATGTCTCAATCAAGCACACCTGTGTGAACTACATCAATTTTTACTTTATGCCCACACGCCCTCCAGAACCCATTCTCTCCCACTGACCACCAGTGTGTGTGAGAGCTGTCCTCCCTCAGAGGGACAGGCTATGGAAAATCAACACTTCCAGAGGGTGCATGATTTTCTTCTCTAATGTATAAGCCAGAAGAACCTGAAAAGGGGATCAGAGCTGTGGGCATACCTGCCAAGGTTCCCAACCTCCTTGCAGAAAAAACACTTTCATGGCAAAACTCCTTTGTAAAGAAATGCTTTATTGCTGCAATTAGACGCCCCTGTGTATAGCACAAACAAGCTCCCATACAGAGAATTAGTCAAGTGGTAATACTGAGAAACAGTGAACATACACAAAAGGATACAAAACTAGACATTTAGATAACTAGAAACTTCCTAAGTTAAAAAATTCAAATATGAAGTGCTTTTTTAGAAACTACACCACACATGCCAGTGTAAATTTGGTTTTTATTAACAATCAACTTTCTAGAAGCATTGCATCTAAGTAGGTGATGAGCTGCACAACTTACTTCCAAAACACAGATAAATGCCTTCATTTCCTTGTTTACTTCTTTCCTTGCGCTAAAGATGGAAGCTGCATATTTCAAATCTGATTCAAAAGGGTATTTCAAAATTGTGTTTGCCAAATCCACAGCATTATGGATCTTTACCCTGTTCCCAATCCTCTCCCAGCCATTCAGCCAACCACCAGGTAGCAGAAGCAGCCCCAACACATTCAGGCATTATGCTAGGCTCTTGAACTGGCCCAACTCCCTGGGGCCTGTGTATCTGTAGCCAGGTAGGACACACCCTCAGGTTTGGAAATTTGATCCATAAGATTGAAAAGAGTGGATTGAAGCAGAAAAAGAGGAAGAGAAATTAGAGGACTGGTGTAGGAAGAGACGTATTACAGAGTTTTCAGGAAATTCTTAAACTTGGGCACAAAAACCAAATTACTGCTGGCAGCCAAAGTCAGAAGACCTTGAGTCATACTGTAACTATGCGGGGAGTAAAGGCCAAATCAGAGAGCTGGCTGGTGACACCCCTGAGACCACATCCATCTCCCCCTTGCCTGGCACACAAGTACCAGCACTCCCGGCCCTGAGACTTACAAGGTCATCCCACATTTCTTTATGGTTCAGCTAAATGTCATCCTCCCACTAAAGCCAGGTGCAGGATGAGGGAAACCTGGGGAATAATTAACCCCCAAAAGAACACAGAAGGCAAATTGATACATAATAAAGGAAAATCTAGCAGATCTGCTGTTCCCACTAGATGGCAGCACAGCACAATCTGGCCAAGGCTTGGTGCTTTCATTAGTCCCCAGAGATTTTAGAGCTGGGACTAAGAATAGGGTCAGAGGTGCTCAACTAGAACCTGTAAGAAAATAGAAAGCGGGCATCTGTGTGCCATTCCAGGAGAGGAAAGAAGGATGTGGGACAGACCACCACAGACAGAGGGTTTTTAGGAGCTTGGTTAGGAGATGATGAGATAGATGATGTTAGGCCTCCCTGAAAAGAAATGAGAAGACTTCACATGAGAATCTAGTTGGGGATGGGACCAACACAACAGTCATGGTTACAAAGGCACCTTTGCCAAAGCGGGTGCCAGCTACAATGGATGGGCTGCCCAGGGGCTATCACTACCAAAGCATACTTACCTTTCTACAGGAAGTCTCAGTACTTTACAAGTTCAGCATAAGGGGTTCCATCAGGGGAGAGGAAAAGATTCCCACTTAAAAATCTCTTCACCTGTGAATCCCTCTCTTCACTTGACTGTTCATCTGCTGTTAAAGGTGGCAGAGACAAGGAGCCTTGCCTAGGAAGTTCCTAAGGAGCAGAGGCAGGGCTGACCAGGATTCAGCTCCCTGAATGGACAGTCTGTAGCTGCTTGGTATTCCTAGGGTGAGAAGGGGTGTGGATAATTGCACTTGGGGGCACAGTGATCACAGGCACAGGCTGGATATGGCCTGGGAGACAGACAGAGGGCAGGCTGATCAATTTTAAAGGGTTGGCTGTGGCTAGACAGTATCTGCCTGGCAGAGCAGCTCCTTAGACCAGGACCCATGATCCCGAAGAATCAGACTCTGGGTGGGAGATGGCACAGAGCACAGTCTGCTACCACATGCTCTCCCCCAGAGCTTCAAAACAAGCCACAGGGCTTCCACTTTGGAGAGCAAATGAATCATCTTGTGTTTGCTTCATCCTCTTAAGGAAAGATGGGGTACATAAGGCTCAGAGGGCCCCCAGGCACCCCACCCGGCAGAAGAGGCTCTGTGCATTCAGAGTTGCTTAGAAAGTAAGCATCTGGGAATATCCACATTACACTGCAGAACCCCGTGGCCTATTTTCTTGGAGTTGACTCATTTGCCTGGTGCAATGAAGTTGGTTTTAAAAACAGAATTTTAAGCAGACTTTTTAAGGACAAAGGCCATCTGATGGTAGTGATTTTGGTTTTGTTTGTTTTATGAAAAACGGTACAGGAGATAATCCCTGATGACAGAACTAACTGATCACAGGGCCAGGGGCCCCTAAAGGATCCTCTCTATTCAGTCCAGTTTAAGGCGACAAATGGGTAAGGGTGTGGCTGGGGGCAGTGACACAGTGGACCCCGCCAGTTTGCTGCTCACTCCTGGCCCAAGTCCCAGAGCCAGCCCATCTGCCTCTCTGCCCTGAGCAGTGATCCACAGAACCTCCCCTGGCCGAGGTAGCAGGTGCCCAGGAGCACCTGCAGTATACATACCCTAGACCAAGGTGGTGCAAGCTTACTCTTTCAGTGTGAAGCAGTACAAACTAGAGAGGTGTGTCTGTTTTTAAATATTGTTTTGTTCTAATTACTTACTCCCTTTTCTTTAGACCTCTAAATCCTTCCTTTTCAGCGTTGACAAAAAAGAAACATTTCGGGCCAGCCTATAAAGATTTGTCATAAAACAGGCTTGAAACCATTAGAAATTATGCTCAAATTGCCATCTAGAATCCATTAACCCCCATGAAATATTATGAAAAGCCTCATACCTGTTTGTCCTACTTTATAGTCACAAGTCCCTTTAATAGACATAGAATGAATGTCATGTTTCTTAGAATACATAAGGCCAAAAGAGTTTTAGGTCTATTATAACATAAAAGAGATAAACAGGGTTATAAAGGGAAGGTTTCTAAATGAGACATTCTTTTAAATGTCAATCTCACTAGACACATATTATAAAATAAAGATTTTCTTTCTGTAAAGTGCTGTTTGCTTAGTGAATCACTTGCCACCATGCAGAGCACCAAGGCCCGTTTGCTAGGGAGAACTGTCAGTGGTAGCACTGGTAGAGGGAACACATCTCCCAGGTTCTCCTTAGCGAGGAGGGAAATTCTCCTATGATGACTAGACATTCCCAAACACTTTGCTCCAGGGTGGGGACTGTTGCTAACTAGAAGAGGTTGCGCACCCTGCTCCTGGTCTTCCCAGAGGTTTGTCATTTTATTCTCTAATTCTGCTCAAGACCATGGGCCAGCTCCCTAACATGGTGTCGTGGAGTCTTCCATCTTCCCTTCCCACAGACATGCTGGCAGAAGTAGAGCTCAGCCATGCACAGCTGATGTGAGAGCTTTCCAGGAGATTCACTAGGGAGGGTTTAGAAAAACAGAAGCCATTAAAAATAGTCACCCGCCCAGTCTGTGCTATTAAAGCACATAAGAAAAGGTACACAATTGGCAGTAAACAATTTCCTTCAGCTGTTCATGGATATCCAGGAAAACTATACACTCCACACAATCAGACGTGAATGATTTCTGCTCCAGTGTCTTCAGGTTCTGTGCAACAAGAAGAGTTTGTATCGGAATGACAGATTCCACGTCCATCTTTATTTTCAAAGTTGGGCTCTGTAAGTGCAGGTTTTTCAAAAATATTCTTTTTGCTTGTTTCTGGACAGTTTTGAACATAGATTACTCTGTTATAAGCCTTGAGTCTCTTCCACAATTGTACGTACACTTTGCACTGAACGTACATAAAAAGAAGTCCGCCAGTAAAGCCGATGGCCACTACCACCAATTTAGTCCAAAAGGGCCATTCTAGGATTCCTGAAAGGGGAAAACCTGGTTAGCCTATCAGCTGACCTTATTTAAAATCTGAAACAAATGAAACACAACTTATGAACTTCCTATAACCCATGATTCTTAGCTCATTGAAGCTCACTTTGCTGACAGAAGGGTGGGAAAGGGTGTCCACTCCCTTTTAACCTGGTCTTCAGGAGACAGTTTATGAAGACTGTCTTTCTCTCTGTGATTTGATCTCTTCTCACTGGGTTTTAAATACTACCACAACAAGAGAAACATCCGAACAGGATGCCTGGTGCATCATAGTTGATGGCCCCCTCCAGAAACCCAGACATTTGAGGTCTGACTTGAAAATCAATCTGAAGTAATGCTCCAATCCTGAGACCCCAGTGTATTATCTAGGACTTCTGTGTGGGGCTCTCCCCCTTTGGTTCTGAGCACATACCTGTTGCCTGCCCCTGCTTGATCTCCTCAGCAGTGCGGTCAATGAGCACATACAAGGACCAGATCACACAGGTGATGGCAATGACATGGAACGTCACTGAGCACATGATCTTCCTCCGCTCGCTGGCTGTCATCTGCAACTTCTCCCACTGAAAAGATAACACACAGAACATGAGGCTCACGCTCACTGAATAAAGTCTGCAGTGGGGGTGAGAGTATCGAACATGGGTAAGATTGGCTTTCTCCCCCCCACACCCTTTTCCAAATTAGATGAATTTCCCCAATTACCCAAAGTCATTCTCTTAAACCGTCTGGCTTCAACCAGATACCACGTACTGGTATTCTGCCAACAGTCAACTTTCTATGCAATGAAAAGAAGCTGGGGTTAAGATGAGCTATGAACCACGACTAGTAACCCCCTTGACTGCTTTGTCTTGCAAGCAGGCATCAAACCGCTTGATAAAGGATTCTATGATTTCAGTCCTGATGAAAAAGCATGTTGGCCCAAAACTCAGGTGGCATATTTTAAGTCTCTCTGACTTGCAGACTGGCACAAGAGAGGGGAAGAAGTAGGTTGATGACGCTACAACACACTAGCAGATTGGGCAAACTACATTGTAAAGGCGACTGCAGAAGGAGCTCACTCTTTGGTCCTCTGCTACTTTGGCAGCAACAGCTTGAAAGTGATGCTAAGAGTTCCTGGTACAAACAGTCTCTGCCAGTCCATCTCCTCTAATTTACTCCAAATAGCCAGATTTCCTTTTTCATTTACTAGTTTCCAAATCAGAAGAAAACACATAAAAACAGAGAAAAAAGGAAAACGTATAAACACTGCATATCCTCTGCCAGGCCTAGTCACAGCCTTTTTCCAGTTGGGTCTATGCAGAACAAGATGAAAGTAGAGCCTCATCAATTATCTAAATTGGGCAAAGTGCCAGAAGACTCACTTGAGAGAGCAGCACAGAGTAGGTACCCAATAAATGATAAGGCTTTTATGGGGCAAAACAGTTTTAAGTAGTTTGTGCTGGCCTTCTCTAATGTCCAGATTGCTTTCTGCTATGGTTCGATCTATCTTCATTTGGCTTCCTTCCTAAAATGTTCCCCTGCTCCCTGATTTCCTATGACAAACTCAGTTCAAGCCTCTCACACTCCCCAGAAATGCTCACCCTTGCCTTTTTGGTATATGCTTTTATCCAGAGACAACTGACCTTTGTAAACTCCCTTCAACTCACCTCTAAATCCTACTATCTTTCAAGAACTGCTTAAACACCCAAACATTCTATGATACTATCACCACTCTACTTTCACAGAGTGACCTCACAACAAATACTTCCTTCTCTGAATGTTAGATATGTTCTATCACCTGGTGAGTTAGCATTTAATTGGCATTGTAATGTGCTGTTGTCTGATGACATGATTCCTCTTGCAATTTACATAATATTAGGGGTTTGATATAAGGACAAGTCTTTTATTGTTCCAGATAAAACCTTATGTTCTGGGCATAGAGAGAGACATTGAACAATGTTTACAAAAAATGTGAGTATAGGACAAGGTTCCTCAAGGACATGGGGCCTGAAGAGAGAGCCGCGTTTCATGTAATGCCTAATTCCTTTCTTTTCCCACCAACTCCACCCTCTCATCTAGGAAATATTTTTCACAGGTATATACAAACAAATTTATTGTTATGCTGTGCTTTGTGCCGGGAGAGATACTAATCTCTAATATATGGTCCTAATTAGAGGCAAAGCATGAACAATTAATACATATAAAGTTAAAATGCTGACTAAAATGTCACAAAACAGTCTGTGGTCAAGGACCAAATGAATGACACAGATAAGCAGGCAGTCTTAGTATGAAGGAAAAAGAAAGAACTTCTTCCTGAGAAGAGGGACTTGGAAACCAGTACCAGGAACAATGATCTCTACTACATGAATGCATATACCAGCTTCCACTTCTTAAAGAAAAGAACACGAGAGAAGGCTTTGTCCAGCCAAGGTGCTAATTCTGACAAGGGAACTCATTTCAGCAAGGCTGAAGTACTTCTCAGGGCGTCCTTACACGTACTTTTCTCAAAGGCTTTAACTTGGTCTCCATGATGAACTCATACTTGCAGAGCTCGCAGCAGCGTGTGTCAGAGCTCTTGATCCACTGCTGCAGGCATGCCTGGTGCACGAAGTGGAGGCTCCCTGTGCAGTGGCAGGGGGTGATCAGAGGGCTCTCGTCATCCCCTTCACAGTGACAGATCCTATGGCAGGAGGAAAGCCAGTCATTACGAGGAGGGCTACATGACAGAGAAGATGACCCTTCAGTGGAAGGTCAACCCCTCAAAGAAAACTTTCAGAAATAAACATCACAGAATTGACTAGAAGCACAAAAACATACAAACACAAATGAAGACAATTACTACAAACTAAAAATTTCTAGCTTACCGCACTAACATGGAAAGTCTGGATGGCATTTGTCATCAGAGAGGAAAATGATATAAAAAATGACAAAGCAGTTGTTTTTGGTAAGATTCAAGAACTTCACTGAAAGACAAATTTAAGGCAACATGGAAGCAACTTCCAGAACTTAAGATGTTAAAATAATTAGAAATTTTTTTCTGTATAAAACAGAGCCAGCACTCTACCTTCCAAAAATACCAGTGACTTAAAAAGATGATGGAATTTGCTTTTTGCTATAATCACTGACCTCACCTCCATATACCACAACTACACATTTCTGTCCTCTCTCAGAGAGTAAACAGAGAAATCACAGTACCTCTCCTGGACCTAAAAGAAAAAAACAAAACATTATATGGTACTGCAACTTCATTTCTTTATGCAGGACCACTCATAGCAGTAAGTGAGAATTTAAAATCATTCGTCATTCTAAAGGTGCAGGGTACATGCAACAGGATTTGGCTACTAACCTCAATATCTTAATAGACTTTTGAGAAACAGAAGGGTCTTTTCCAGCAGCTGGAGAGCAGGTAGAGACACCTGGCTTAAAAGGAGCTGGGCTCTGGTCCTGGCCAGGCTCTCAGTTATTTGTTTCTGTGACAGGGGTTTCTGATCCAATTGTTAGAAATTATAACAGCTGGCCCTAAGGAGGAGCGACTGGGGAAAGATTAAAATGGGGAAGGCATAAGAGTGGTGACAAAAAGTAAATTGTGAAAGATTTGGAGGGACAGAGAAGAATCCTGCACAATAGAGGAGGTAAAGGTGGGAACTGGAGCTAGGATCTGGGTAGAGGTAGCATCCAAGTTAAAAAGAAGGAAAGAAGAGCCTCTCCCCACACATATCATGGTGTAGGTGGAGCGAGGGGTAAACATGAGCCAGTATTTAAAATCTAGACCATCAAGCCAGAAAACTTTTTCAATTTTTTTTTTTTTTTGCAAAGTCTACTTATTTTTAGTTGAGAAGAGTTAGCTTGACCTTTAATATGTGTAGCTTCTTCCTTTTTTATCATCTATGAAACTCATGGGACCTATTTCACAGAAACTGATTTTTCAAATGATATCAGTACTCCATTCTTCCGGAGAAAACTATTAATCCACAATTGTCTACAACTGCCTATCAATTCATTTTCCTGAAACTTCACATATTAAAGCAAGATGAGGCTACACAGATGTGGTGAGCAGAGATGGCCAGAATGGTGGTTCTTGGCAAACCAACCTGCAGGCATCCCCTGATGTGGACACAGGAGAGATGGGGGGGCATTTTTCAGAGAGGGGAGAAGGACAATCCAGGTCACTGTCCTTCTCCACTGAGCAGAGTGGTGCCCGCAGGACCTTGCTCTTCGATTTTGTGGATGTGCTGTCCTCAAAGACGTCATCATCTCCCATTTCATTGGAGCCGAAGCCCATGCTCCCTGCCAGCCCACTGGAGGACTTGGCGGTGTGCTGGTGAGTGGTACAGCTCTCCAGCTCATGGAACCTGTGCAGGCTGCTGGCACTCGAGCCAAGCGAGAGCGAGAACAGGTACCTGAGCAGTCGCCGTCTTCTGGACACAGCCTCGCCATCCGCTTTCTCTTCCAAAAGAGAGACATGCATGCCCCCCTTGCCACCTTCCACCTCTGAGGCAGTTGAATGATGGGCAGATAGAGATGAAACACAAGAATGTTTGGAATGGCCAGGAGGTTTGCTATTCAGTGTTCTTTTTTCTTTATGATGGAACCTGTTAATTCTGAGACATGGATCTTGAGAGAGTATTAATTTCCCTTCAGAACAAGTTCTTTCCACATAGTCAAAACTTTCCAAAGCATCCTGGGCCTTCTCACCCACATCGTTAAGGGACTTTGAGAACTTTAGTGTTCTTCTGGCTTTGGTATTCTTAGCAGGCTTCAAGGCCTGGACCCATTCTGAACCATAGGAATTTCTCTTTGACGCCTGTAATATGTCTTTACAGATAACTGTCACAGTGAGCCCTTGTGTCAGAGAACTCTGGCATTGAGGAGCTTTCAAGACAACAGCAGACTGCACGGGACTGTGACGACAACAATCAGAAAACACTGCACTGGAACTGCATGCAGAGAACAGTGGAATAAAAGCACAGAAAGTAAAAACAATTTTAAAAGAGAACAGACATCAAAGTGAAGAAATGAGACTCGTGGTAATTTGGTGAGCAAACAGCACATAAAACTGGACCAACTGTTAGTACAAAGGCATAATGACCAAACTAATGGAAAATTGAGAACCTATAGACACTACTGCTTACTTCTGGGATGCACATGAACCACTGTAGCATCGGCAGCAACTGTTACCTGCAAATATCCTGATTGGAAGGCGTGACAGAAGTGCGAGAGAAGGCAGACACTGGAGCCGATGCCAACGGAGGACCCACAGCCTGCAATGACACACCTCTTAGTTTTCAGGAAATAGCCATGAGGACCAAGAACACCATCTTCTTCTGAATGGTAATGGGGAGAGGATCTAAGAATGTCGGCTATTTCCTACTGCTCAGTGAGTAACATGTACTAGGTCTCTACAAGCTGAGACTAAACAAATCAAACAGCACTTTTCTCATATGTGGGTAAAAGTATAGCCAGGAAATATTTGAGACTGGAACATCTCCTGCAGACTCAGTGGTCATTTATTTCCTAAGTGTCTAAATTTAATTAGTTCATACATCAGTCAAGAAACCATGTACGATAAGGTGTATGGTGATAACAAAAGAAAAGTGTGGTACAACCCTGCCAGTCCTTGCTTCCTTGCCAGCACTCATTTACCTGGTCCCTGGGATAATCCTAATCAAGGCTGGCCGTATGTAAGCACTCTCTCCTTTTCGCAACTTCATGCTACCCTGCCAGAACTCGTTATACAAAAGGGAGACTAGACTACCTGACCACAGGGCCACCTATCCAAAGCTCAACCTGTGGAGGGGGCTGAGCAGAGAAAGCTCCAAAGAGTTCTAATCAAAACAAATAATCGAGAAAATTTAAACTTGAAGGAACATGTAGCAAGAGGTCATGAGATAGAGCTAGGGCTCTGAAAGGTCATGAATAAGCCAAAATTAGAGAAAAAAAGTCTAGGAGGGTGAGGAAGTACCACAATGGGAAGAGAAGTGGAAAGAGAGAAATAGCAACAGGGAGTGTGGCTGAGCTAAGAATACAAAATCACCACTAGAGTCCTGCAGCCTCCCACTTCAGCCTCTGTGGGGCCCTTGCTAGGCCTTCTGAAGACTTAGATTCCTGAGTTTCCATGGTCCTAACAATACCATGCATATTCATGTAAATGCATTCTTCCCTCCTTAGGACAGTTAGCCTGAATGAGCATCTGCACCACACATCCTAAACCACATGAAAATAGTATAGTCGTTCCTTGTTATCTGGGGGGATTAGTTCCAGGACCCCCCAAGGATATTAAAATGCACAGGTGTTCAAATCCCTTATATAACATGGCATAGTGTTTGTATATAACTTATATTTGCATATAGGCTACAGCAGGGTATGCCTACACATCACTTCTTTTACGTGAATTCTGCACAGTGCTCAGCATATGGCAAACTCAAATTTTGCTTTCTGGAACTTTCTAGGATTTTCCCCCCCAAAATATTTTTAAGCCTCAGTTGAATGAATCTGCAGATGCAAAACCCATGGATGTGAAACCCATGGACATGGAGGGCCAACTGTAATGTAAGTCTGTTATCAAGAGCATGCCCACATCACCTCCCTACCTTCCCCAGGACCACTCTAGTGGCCCCAAGCTTTGCTCCACAATTCCTCAGCTGAGGCCCAGCCTCCACTTTTGCTAAGTGCCACCTCCAGAGGCGTACTCTCATCCTGGCCCTAGAGCTACAGGACCCCTGACTTAAGGGGAGCCACCAAGATAGGCAGTACCACTGTCCAGAAGCTCTCCCTATCTGCCTTCTCCTGGAGAGAATCATGACCGGCACTTGAGGTGTTCACTGGACCACTATTCCTGCTCCTCAGCACAGGGAGTAAACATTTTAAATCCAATTAACTTAAAGAAATCTTATCCAAGGAATTACATGTTACCATGCCAAAATCATGCAACATCCTGCAATTAGCACGTCCTGAGTAACAAAAGATCAATATTTATTTTCTAACAAAATGTGCATATGAATATTGGGTATATTTTCTTTGGAAGAAGTATTGGTCAAAGTTCTTAAAATTCTAATGTTCATTTTGAGAAACAAGGTGGAGTGAGAGATGTCTTCAGATCTCTCCCCTTAAGTCAACAAAAAAAAAACACAAACTGCACAACAGCATGCCTGAGAATGGGATCTCCACATAAGAGCTCCAACAGAACAGAACCCCAGGTGTCGGGCGGTAGACTGGGAGAAACAAAGAAGCTGCCTCTCGCAGCCCTCTGAGCTCCCTGTAGGAGGAAAGGGAGGGGAGAAAGTGCAGGGAGGTCCCTTAACAGTCCTGCCTGGGAGAACTGTGAGATCCACCTGGCTGATGGGAGGGCCCAGTCATCAGAACAGAAAGCAGAGAAGCAGGGACAGCAGAGAAACAACAGTTGATTTTTACCAGCCACAGTTGCAAAACCGAGGCTGAGCCACAGCCCCCATCTCCTAACCCAGAGTGCCCTTCCCCCCATATCTTCCGAGACCGAACACCACAGAGTGCCAGGGGAATCTGAGCAAATGCTACCAAAACTGTCATTAACCCTGACAGGGACTGAGACTAAGAGCGACCAGCATGATTAAACATCTATAAGGGGGAGGGGAGAAGGTATTATTAAAGCTTTATCATACAAAGCAGGGATCCAAGAGGATTAGATGCCACCTACTAGAAATTAAAAGAAAAATGTCTTATATGCAACAGGCTAAAGGGAGACCTTTATATAATAAATCTTCTTTCTGAAAAATAAAGCAGAATACACATCCATTAATGCACAGGTGAAGAAACAGTCCATTAAATACCACGAACAAACAAGATGACATGGCATTTCATAAAAAGAAAAATCTCCAGAAAATAAGCTGAAAGACAGAGAAATATGCAACATAAATGACAGAGAATTCAGGATGGTAATTCTGAAAAAACTCAGTGAGATCCGAAACAATTCATATCAACAATTTCAAGAATTGAAAAAACAACTAGATCAGCACAATGAGTTCTTCAGCAAGAAGACTGAAACCTTCAAAAATAACAGAATAGAACTTCTGGAGATTAAAAACACATGGCAAGAGTTGAAAAATGAAATAGCAAGCATGGGAAACAGAGTCAACCAAATGGAGGAAAGGATCAGTGATATCGAAGACAGAAAATTATAAATAAATCAGAAGAGAGAAATTGAAAAATAAAAAATAATGAAAGAGAAATACAAGAATAAGCTAATACCATCAGGAAAGAAAACATAAGAATAATGGACATCATCAAAGGGGAGGAAAAGGAAGAGGGTTAGAAAGCATTTTCAGACAAATAGTTGATGAGAATTTCCCAAATCTAAGAAATAAGCTGGAGCTTGGAATTCAAGAAGTCAACAGAACACCCAATTATCTGAACCCAAAAAGGCTTTCACCAAGACATATTGTGTTAAAATTATCAAAACTCAATGACAAAAACAGAATTCTCAGGGCAGCTATGGAAAAAAAGACGGTAACGAATAAAAGAAAACCCATTAGAATATCGTCAGACTTCTCAGCACAAACCTTATAAGCCAGAAAGGAGTGGAATCAAATATTCAAACTATTAAGTGAAAGGAAATACCAGCCAAGAATAATGTATCCAGCTAAGCTCTTCTTTACATATGAAAGAAAAATAGACCTTTCCAGACATACAAAAGTTGAGGGAATTCTTCACTATGAGGCCTATACTACAGGAAATACTGAAAGGGGTCAGCTCAACTAAAACAATATGACAAAAAAAAAAAAATACATTATTAGGAGTAAGGTGACAATCAGGCATATAGAAGTAGAGGAGTGCAACCTTTACTAAGAAAAGGGCATTATAAGCTTAAACAATAAGAAGAGATTTGCTATAGCAAGATAGTAGTGAACATTCAGCATACATAGGAACAAATTGAGATAAAATGACTGAAAAGGGGAGGATTCAAAGGTCCAAATTCACAAAGGGGAATGGAGATAAGGCATGCACAGAAGAAAATAGACGACTGTTTATTTTCACACACACACACACACACACACACACACAGTTTTATATATATAACTATTCTTTACATATTCGTAATGGTAACCACACACCAAATATTCAGAACTGAAATATATAACATAAAACAAGAAGGACCAGAGGGAAAGCCCACAAGCGCCAACCAAAAAAAAAAAAGAAAAGAAAAAAACGGAAGCATAAGGACAAGGAAGCAATGGAAACACCGAACTACAAAAAAGCAAAAGATAAAATGGCTATAAAAAGACTTTATATTTCAATAATCACCCTCACTGTAAATGGACTGAACTCACCAATAATAAGGCACAGAGTTGCAGAATGGATCAAAAAACAAACCCAACTATATGCTGCCTCCAGGAGAAACATCTCAGCTCCAAAGACAAATATAGACTTAAAGTGAAAGGGTGGAAAATGATATTTCAAGCAAATGGCATTCAGAGAAAAGCGGGAATAGCGGTACTAATATCAGACGAAATAGACTTCGAAATAAAAAATATAAAGAAAGATACTGATGGACACTGCATAATGATAAAGGGGATCATGCACCAAGAAGACATAACACTTATTAATATCTATGCTCCCCATCAGGAAGCCCCGAAATATGTAAAGCAATTACTAACAGAACTAAAGGGAGAAACAGAACAAAATACTATCATACTAAGGGACCTGAATACCCCACTGTCAGATATGGACAGATCATCCAAACAGAAAATCAATAAGGAAATAACATCCTTAAATGACACATTAGACCAACTGGACATAATTGACATTTACAAAGGCTTCTATCCCAAAACAGCAGCTTATACATTCTTCTCTAGTGCACATGGCACATTCTCAAGAATCGACCACATACTGGGAATAGAGATAGGCTCAACAAATATAAGACGGTTGAAATCATACCAACCATATTCTCTGATAATAACGCTTTGAAACTACAGATCAACTATAAAAAGAAAGCAGGAAGAACCACAAATACAAATACATGGAGGTTAAACAACATATTACTGAAGAATAACAGAGTCAGAGAAGAAATAAAAGAGAGATCAAGATGTACATAGAAATGAATAATAATGATAGTATAACATATCAAAACTTATGGGACACAGCAAAAGCGGTCACAAGAAGAAAGTTCATATCATTACAGACCTATGCCAAAAACAAGAACAAGCCCAAATCAACAACTTAATGCTTCCTCTTAAAAAACTAGAAGAGGAAGAACAAATGAAGCTTAAAGTCAGCAGAAGGTAAGAAA